TTAGACGGGCTGCGTGTTAACTTCCCCTCTACCCAGACAGACCCCATTCAGTTAGACGGGCTCCGTGTTAACTTCCCCTCTACCCAGACAGACCCCATTCAGTTAGACGGGCTGCGTGTTAACTTGACCTCTACCCAGACAGACCCCATTCAGTTAGACCGGCTGTGTGTTAACTTTCCCTCTACCCAGACAGACCCCATTCAGTTAGACCGGCTGTGTGTTAACTTTCCCTCTACCCAGACAGATCCCATTCAGTTAGACAGGCTCCGTGTTAACTTCCCCTCTACCCAGACAGACCCAATTCAGTTAGACGGGCTCCGTGTTAATTTGACCTCTACCCAGACAGACCCCATTCAGTTACTTACCCAGGATCATCTATGCCCTGCAATCCTAAAAAGTTCTACATTCTACTGTCAGCCTATTTCACTCACCCTCACGGTGGCAAAAGCCTTAGAGTCCTGTACCAGGAGTTGAGGAACAGATCCTGGTCCTGCAGGAATTTCCTTCAGGTTCAATACCTTTAACCAAGACCCATTCAGCACCCCACTGCAGCCGCACTTGGAGCATTCCCCATTGGAAATTACAATCCATACATGCAGCTTAGTTCCTCCAGGCTGCCACATATAGTAAAGATCTTGCTAAAATGCATGCTTTGAATGAAGAGACCCCCCCCCCCCGACAAACACGATTTGTGTGAGCAACATGGCTGTTTATTCACCTGGGTGCAGGTGGGCTAAGCCCAAAATGGGCGTTAGCAAAGGGTGGAATGAGTTGTTTTCATAGGTTTGGGGTGGGCAGTGGAAAGTTAGAGGAAGATCAGTTACAGTGGTGGGGGTGGGGCAGGAAGTACACATTACCATAAGATCAGTTACAATGGCGGGTGGGGTGAGAGTAGTTAGGATGGCAGGGTGGGGTGAGGAGAATTCACATTATCATTGTAACAATTAAGATGGTAGGGTGGGGTAAGCCATCTTAATTGGAGGAAGCTCTGCTGGGCTATCAGGGAGAATGGTGAATGCAGGCAGGAGGTGGCAGGTGATCAGCCAAGGCAGGCAGGACTTCAGATTCTGTGGGTCCAGGCTTGCACATGGAAGCCTGACAGATCTGACACTTTGAAGCCTGCATTGAGGCTGAAGAGGCCCCCTACCCTGCAGAGGGGGGTGCTGGGCCCCGTGGCACATCTCCCATTTCCATCTCCTTCAGGAGCCCTGTCAACGGCCTCCTCACCCAGTTAGATGAGTTGCCCTCTCCTGTCTCCTTATTCCCCTGTAGCTCCACCTTCATCTGGAGGTGGGAAGCTTTCTCCCATCATCTGGTCCCATGCACACAGTTGGTGGCTGTCTGACTGCCAGTGGTGACTGACCGGGAGCCTCCAGCCATGCATATCTGCCACCATCTGGACCAAGGGCACTGACTTGGTCATCGTAAACCTGACCGTGGACTCCCACAGTTGGGTGGGGGCCAGTGCTTCTGGGGGTTGTTCCACTCAGTGGTTACCAGGATGTGGTGCAGGGCCAGCCGTGGGCCCCATGCAACAAGCAGTCATCATGTCGCCTTGAAGGATCACTCCAAACAGCTGGCAGCTGATGCCAGTGAACCCCTACACTGGGGCTTAGCTTGGGAGGGTGTTCTCAAGAGTAAGCTGACAGTGAAGGAAAGTTTGTTAGAGGAACAGTGCACAGCAAAATGGCTGCTGTGTAGTCAGACCAGGGCTGCCCCACAGGCACAGGGGCCCAGAGCAGCACTCATGGTTGCTGACTGGCTCTATTTACACTCATTCTTAATTATATGCAAATTAAAGGGCAGGTTATTCACAAACTTTCTGGAAAAGGGGCAGGGAGTTCCCAGGACCATATAACTTCCGGGTCATTGTCATGGCATTTGTCAATTGTCAGGGTGTTGGTGAGAGTGTCTTATGAGAATGTATTGCAATAAACATATGTTGAGCAATGAGAGCAACTCAAGTCACCTTTGTCACCATCGTGGTCCTAGCTGGCTTGGGCCAGTTTCTTTGTTATATCCTGCTGTGATCACAGGGTCATGATCAAGCCTTGGGAAACAAGTCGTGCTGATATCCTACCTCACAACTATTTAGAGATTGGTCAGCAACTCGAATAATGCCTTCTGTTAAGCAATGTCTGTTAAACAGGAAAATGGACAACAGACAGAAACAGAGAGAGCGCAGGAAAATGCACATATCCGCTAGCCACAGCCAACTGTGCCCAACCTCACTCATAATTTAAAAATGCAAATTAAAAATACACCCAGATGCTATTTCTATTTTCATCTGTGAGACTGTGAAAATCCGGAGTGAAAAAGGGGACACCCTTTCTGACACCGCCATAAAAGCAAGCACTCACTCCTCAATGACAAAACTGTCCAGAGACCACAGAGCACAACTGGGTAATACTCGTGCAAATACATTTAACACTCGTCCTTTGATGTCATTTCTGGGAAGTTGTGGTATGATGGTATAGGTAAGGAATGACATTAGGGACAACTGCAATGTTGTGTATATGAAAGTTGATTTCATAAATTGAGTTATGCTTGGCATACCCAATTCAATCAAAGCCAAGAGCTGGAGGAAAATGGCTCCGGCCGACGTTACCTGCTCCAAGAACCATCTGCAAGCCCAGATCCTGAAACAGCCTGCTGCAACTTTACAACCAGGTGTATCTAACAGCTGCTGGAACAACCTTCTGTGACTCAAAGGCAAAGTCTACCTACTGTGTCACTCACCCATCAGAGCCTGCCAGCTCTCCAAACCTCTACCAGTGCTCACAACTTTTCTTCCTAAATAATAGGTAAGGCGGGTGGATCACGAGGTCTAGAGATCGAGACCATTAAAAAAAAAAAGCTAAATAATAGGTAACATTTCTTAAATAAAAATTTCCACCTTCTCTTTTTTCCACCTTCAGACACACCAGAGACATTTGTGGTCTGTGTGTGCCTGAATTATAATTCTGTGATTCCTGAATAAAACGTTTAGATTTCAACCCCACAATGTATTTTTGACTTTGACATGTGAGATTGAAAAACACAAATATCTATTCAAGGAGGCCATTTAAATAAACTCTGGTACATCCAGGCCATGAAATATGTTGCAACTTGCATTAGTCCTTTCTCCCACTGCTATAGAGAAATACCTGAGGCTGGGCAATTTATAAAGAAAAGAGGTGTAAGTGTCTCACAGTTCCACAGGCTGTACAGGAAGCATAGGATGGCTTTTGGGGAGGCCTCAGGAAGCTTACAATATGGCAGAAAGTAAAGGGGAAGCAGGAACCACTTACACGGTCTGAGAGCAGGAGGAAGAGAGGGAGTTGCCCACACACTTTTAAAAAACCAGATCTTGTAAGAACTCTATCACAATAACAGGACCAAAGGGTGTTTTTGTGATCCTTCCTGAATGGGTAACCCCCATGAGCCAGTCACCCCACCAGGCCCCACCCCAACACTGTAGATTTCAATTCAACATGAGATTTGGGTGGGGACACAGATCCAAACCATATCACAACTGTAAAAAAAAAAAAAAGAAGAAGAAGAAGAAAGAAAGGAAAAGAGTAAAAGAGTGTGAAGGTCCTGCTCCTGCCTGCATTAACAGAGCACCTCTACACAGAGGGTTGAGGGGAGAAAGCGGGGTGGAGCATCTATGGATTGTCTTTGGGGGCTTACTCAGACTGGCCCAATCTGCTGTAAAACTAGTATTTAGGGTTTCTTTTGAATAAACAGAAATTAACTCACCCTATCTTAAAACCTGGGAAAGTTACATTTGTCTTATCTGAGTTCCTTTCTCAGGAAGCCAACCATCAGGCCCCCCAGACAGTATCAAGGCACTGAAACTTGCCAGGCCCTCCAGGCCAGACTACTCATGACCGCCTAGCTGCCTCCTCACTCTCTCTAATTCCCGTTTTCCCACACAGGGTGACATTTCTTCCCTGGTCTAGAAACTCCTAATTTTAGTGGGTTGAGGAGAGGGATTTGTGAGTGGGTACCCACCTCTGAGCTGTAGCACTGGAACGAGGCCTTCGTCCCTGGCATTGCTCTTGGTGACTGGCCTTCTGTGCAGGGCAGCGGACCTAGAGAACAACCCCTGATGTTTGGGTAGCACCGTTACTGTGAGAGGCATGGAGAGCCTCCAGTTCTCAGTCTTCTTGGAGGAAATATTTCAGATAGGAGATGTACAGCAAGAGGTAAAGGGCTGAGAAACCTTTATTTAAAGAGATAGGAGCTCAGAGAGACAAGACAGAATCTGCCACCCAGGAGACAGAGACTAGAGCTTTCTTTCCCTGGAGCTTTTGGTTAAGGAAACAGTATATCCCCCACCCACGCTGGGAGACCCTCTAGATGAGCGTCTGACAGGATTATTCATGAAGGGCCATGCAGGGGCCTGACTGGTGAGCCCATTTGGGAAGTCCTCTGGGCACGCGTGCACCGTGACCTCACACGCGAGTGTGCACGGGTGTTTCAATGGCATCTAAAATCTCCCCCCTGGGTGTGTGTTTTTGGCATTATAATGAGCTAAAAGCTATTAAGGGGCGAGTTGGAACCGCACACGTGCTCTCCGGCAGGGAAAATCCCTGCCCTGGCCACTGCGCACTTTCCATGGGCTGTGGGGTCCCCAAAGAGATGCCCTTGGGCTCAGGGACTGCGTTTCTGAACACACTTTCCCAGGGCTCCCGTGCCCCTCTGGCCTGGCTGCCGCGGCTCCAACACCAGCACACGGGGGCTCAGAACCGGCGGACAGGGGCAGGGCCTGGGCACTGGTGGGGGGGTGGGGGGGCTCCGAGGACAGGCAGGGCCTGGGCACGGGGGGGTGGGGGCTCCAAGGACAGGCAGGGCGGGGGCGCCGGGGGGGCTCCGAGGACAGGCAGGGCGGGGCACGGGGGGGCTCCGAGGACAGGCAGGGCGGGGCGCGGGGGGGGCTCCGAGGACAGGCAGGGCGGGGCGCGGGGGGGCTCGGAGGACAGGCAGGGCGGGGCGCAGGGGGCTCCGAGGACAGGCCCCGCGGGCGGGAGGGAGGGGCGCCCTGGGAAGGCGGAGCTCCCCCTACCGGCCAGACCCGGGCACGACGCGGAGGCTGCCGAGGTTCCAGAAGGGCCGGGAGGTGGCGTCGCGCGCTGACCCTCACAGGGCGCCGCTGGGGACAATGACGCTGCTCGCTTTGCTCCTCCTGGCCATGGCCCTGCCGCGGGTGTGGACAGACGCCAACCTGACTGCGAGACAACGAGATCCGGAGGACACGCCGCAGAAGGGTGAGCCCGGTCAGGCCCCGAGCAGCCGCGGGCTGAGAGGACAGGCCGAGGGGACAGGCCGAGGGGATGGGCCGAGGGGACACGGGCCGAGGGAGGACGGGCCGAGGGGACACGGGCGGAGGGGACGGGCCGAGGGGACACGGGCCGAGGGGACGGGCCGAGGGGACACGAGCCGAGGGGACACGGGCCGAGGGGACGGGCCGAGGGGACACGGGCCGAGGGGACACGGGTTGAGGGGACAGGCTGAGGGGACACGGGCCGAGGGGATGAGCCGAGGGGACACGGACCGAGGGGAGACGGGCCAGGCGGCATCTGCCCAGCACCCCGTGGCCGCTGCCCCCGCTAGGCCGCGAGAACAGGGAGCGCAGAGGGCCAATGGCGCCTGGAAGTCTCCGGGGAGCCTCGCCTCCTGCAGCTTCCCCCCCAAGGCAGCGGTACAGCCTGAGCCCGGCCCTTCCCCAGCCCTTGCCCTGCTCCTGGCCGAGCCTCCCTGGGAGCACTTGGGTTGGAGGCGCCCCCCCTCGCCCCCGACCCCCAGCCTGGCCTTCTGGGGCTTCACGGGCTGAGAACCCTTCAAGCCGCGGGAGGAGGACCGACTCCCCCGGCAGAACTAGGCCAGGCCCAACCCAGACCCAAGGGAAGACTTGTTTGAAGAAGCCAGGTTGTGGGGCCTGGGAGGTCGGTGGACCCGGAAGGTGGGGCGGGGTGGGGCGGGGCGCGGCGCGACGCACGTGGGATCAGACCAAGCCCCCGGGTCTCTTCCGCAGCTGTTGGCCGGGAGATGCCGGGGGCCTAAAATCAGGGTGCCACGGCCGAGTGGGGGTGCACCGTGTGCTCATGCTGTGCTTGGATGTGCAGCCTGAGGGAGACACTTTGTGGGAGGGTGGGGAGCCCCCAGGAAAGAAATCACTCAGGCTGTAGAGAAGGCCAGAGGCTGGGCGATTTATAAAGAAAAGAGGATCTAATCGCTTCAGAGTTCCACAGGCTGTCCACGAAGCGTGGTGCTGGCTTTTAGGGGGGCCTTGGGATGCTTCTAGTCATGGAGGAAGGCGAAGGCGAAGCAGGCATCTCTTCCGTGGCCTGAGACCCCTCCTGCTTTCTCCCTTTGCGGTTCACTCCCAGTCAGGGAGGATGCAGCCCCAGCCACTGCTCAGCGGGGGAAAGATGGGGACCCCCGAGTTTGTGCTGCCTTGGATGCCAGCTGTGTTCATGAGATAGGCATGGAGAACTAGAACATTCTGCTTTTCTTTTTCTTTTTTTGAGACAGTTTCGCTCTTGTTACCCAGGCTGGAGTGCAATGGCGCCATCTCAGCTCACCGCAACCTCCGCCTCCTGGGCTCAGGCAATTCTCCTGCCTCAGCCTCCTGAGTAGCTGGGATTACAGGCACGCGCCACCATGCCCAGCTCATTTTTTGTTTAGTAGAGATGGGGTTTCACCATGTTGACCAGGATGGTCTCTATCTCTTGACCTCGTGATCCACCCGCCTCGGCCTTCCAAAGTGCTGGGATTACAGGCTTTAGCCACCGCACCCGGCCTACATTCTGCTTTTCTATGTCTCCTTTCAGACACAGGTGACGATAGAATCTGGTGTCACGTTTGTGAGAGAGAAAACACTTTCGATTGTGAGAATCCAAGGATGTGCAAATCGGAAGAGTCATACTGCGTTGTAGCGGCCGTGAGTGAGTATCCTCGCTCTCGCTGGGGGCCCAGAGGCACATGAATAGGGGGCTTTCAGGAATCAGGGCTAGTTCCCCTCAATAGGGAATAACTAATAGAAAGTAGCCTTTTTCCCCCAATAAAATGTGAAGCACAAAGTCCTGAGAGGCTGGGAAGAGGCGAGGGAGAGCAGGGTGGGGCTCAGTCCCTAAGAACTGTGCCAGTGTACAGCAGCGCCCACCATGTGGGTCCGGACAAAACACTGGGAGGCAGGAAGAAGATCTGGATTTCATGTCATCCATTTTTAAATGAAAAAAGCTTTAATAATGTTAAATGCCCCACTGAGAGCAGTGCCTGTGTCACTTTCCCAAGAGATGCACAGAACTCAGGTGTACAGCCTTCAGGTGTGTTCTAGAGGAGGCAGCGTGCCTTAACAACTGTGGAGACTGCTGCTCTGTCATCTGTGAGTCCCCTGAAAACCTATGGGTACGTGAAGCCCCCCCAAGGGGCATCTGGACTCCCAGCACATTCTGCCCACAGGGCCATCTTCAGGGCTCCTGAATTCGGATTCCACCCAGCATTTGCTCTCCAGCCCTTCGGCATCCATGGAGCGGGTGGGGCACTGAGGCGATGCTTCAGACTCAGTGTAGCCAACATTGACTTTCTAACTTAATATGGTAAAATGATTAGTACAATGATGTGTAAGATGAAGTGTGGTCATGACACAAGACCCCCAGCTCAGAGCTGAGCCAGGCCACTGAGAGGCCAGCTCCATGCCTTGGGTGATGGCCAGGATGGCTGCGAGTCATGTGTCTGTCTGTGGTCACTAAGGCCTGAGCCAACCCTATGTTTGAGAAGTTGAGACCTGTGTGTCCCAAGCAGCGACCCCTAGACCCACATTCCCAGTGCATGTGGACAGGCCACACCACGCAGAAGCCAGCCCCTGCCCGAAGCAGCATTCAACACATGGGCCTGGCTCTCATGCTCCTGACCTCCCCTTGACACCCCTGTACCTCTAAGCAGGGCTGCGGGGGAGAGGGTCTGATGAAGACAGAAAGGCCTTGGTGTCAGCACTGGAACTGTGTGATTTCCTTCTCTCGTTTTTTATTTCCTGTCAGAAATATTTCCGCGTTTTTTCATGATTTCGAAGCAGTGCTCTGCTCACTGTGCAGTAATTGAGAGACCCAAGCCGGAGCAGAAGCCGTTTCTCCTGGAAGCGCCCATGCCCTTCTTTTACCTCAAGTGTTGTAAACTTCGCTATTGTAATTTAAACGGGCCATCTGTGAACGAATCAGTGTTCAAAGACTATGCCGAGGGCTCCAGTACCAGGAGCTGTGGCGGGCTCGGGCTGGCCGCCCTCCTGCTGCCGGCCGCCACCGCAGCTGGCCTCAGCCTGCCTTGACCCAGGACTGCATGAACTGAGCCTTCTGGAGCATGGGCTCACTCCACACCATTGTAACCTGTTGCATTAAACTTGTTTTCTGTTGATTACCTCTTGGTTTGACTTGCCAGGGTCTTGGGATGGGAGGGTGGGATCAGGTACAGCTCGCTCTTAACCCTCAAGGGCTCTTCAGCTCACATTCAGAGCAAGATCTCCTGGTAGTGATTCTGGCGACAAGTTTTTCTCTTTGAAATCAAACCTTGTAACTCATTGATGGCTGATGGCCACTGTTTTCCTTGACTCCCCTCTGCCCCTGAGGGCTTCAGTACTGATAGGGAGGGAAGCCTAACCACTCACGGAGAGCGTGTGTTCAGATGCTTCTGACCTTTCAGGTGATGCAGGAATCTGAATGACCGGGGTGAAGACATCCCTGGAGTGAAGGACTCCTTAGCACAGGGGGCGGTGGGATACACACAGGGGTGCCCCCATTCCAGTGGCGGAGGCACTACAGATGGCTGCCTTTCCTCAGCCTTTCCTACCACATTCCAGGAGGCAGAAGATTACTAATTCTGTTGAAGAAACTTAGACTTCGCCCACCAGCTGGCACAGGTGCACAGATTCATAACTTCGCCCACGTGTGTGTTCAACATCTGAAACTTGGGCCAGGTAGAGAGCGACGTGGCTTTCATTCCAAGATGCAGCCATCCCCAGAGAGCTGAGAAACCAGACTCAAAGTTCCACCCAAAACAAATACAAGGGGAGCTCACGGAACTCAAAAGTTCATGGAAAAATTGAATTAAAAGATAAACATTTAAAAATATGTTTATTTCTCAGCATGAGCTCCATCCAGGTCAAGACACCTTTGTGAGTAACGGTTCAGCCATTTAGTTCAGCCCTAATGAACTGAGCATCCTGGGAATTTAACCATGTCAATTCAGTCTTTGTTCTGTTATTAACTGAAAAAAAGTGGATGCCCTTTAAAGACTCTTCAAAATTAGAAAACAGAAATAACCACATCAGGCCTGCGAGGTGGATGCCTAATAACTTCCCACTAAAACGCTCACAAAACTCCCCTTGTTTGATGAGCAGAATGAGGAGCCCTGCCGTGGTGGAGGCAGGAGCAGGAGCCCTGTCACAGTGAACGAGGGCTCTCTGGTGAAGCTCTCTGGGGTGAAGCTCTCCGGGGTATTTTCCTGCCAAATCATTGGTTAACTTTCTCAATGCACTCTCATAACGAGATGTTACTATTCTGTGGCCCTCCAGAAAGTCAGTAAGCAAGATGCCTTGAGCATCCACAAAACTGCTGCCATGACCTTCGCTCTTGACATGTTTGCTTTTGCTCCAACGGGGCCGCGTCCGCCTCTCGGTGTCACGCCTCTGCTTCTGCTTTGTCTTCAGGGTTGTACTGCTTAAGCCACGTTTCATCTCCTGCTATAATTCTTTGAAGAAATGCTTCGGGATCTTGATTCCACTTGTTAAAATCGCTGTAGAAAGCTTTTCTCTTCTGTGCAGCTAAGCTGGGATAAACAGTTTCATCACCCATGGAGTGGAAAGTTCACTCAACTTTAACTCTGGTCAGGACTGTGTAATCTGAACACCCGGGGATGCTACACCTTCTAATAGTACGGACACCTACTGTTTCTACTGCTATTAATCAGGCCGCTTCAATCGGCACAAGCAAGACCAATGGCTCCTCACAGACTGATGTGGCTTCCTCTCCAACATCATCTCATCCCGTCTTCCAGTGAGTTGCCCACTTATTTAAACTGCTGATTTCTTTGGGGCATTGTCCCTATAAACTTTCAATAAAGCATCAATGATTTCACCATTTTTGCAGCCAAGCTTCACCATCAACTGCATGTTTGTTCTGGCTTCAATTTTCACAGGATTCATGTTGCCTGATAGGAGCTCTTTTCAAACTATTGTCTTATACTTCTTAGGGCGTCAAACTAGATTCTGTTCAGACATGTTTCACAAGTTAGTACAAGTTTATTTTGTTGCAAAAAAATGTGAAATCCATGCATTCTTTTTCCCGATATGCATTTTCTGTGAACATTCTAAAGATCGCTCATCCTTTCTCCCAAAGTTGTCTATTCAGTGTCAGGGAGGATGTGACCCCACCCACTGCCCACCTTTGTCTCCCTTCTGTCCCCATCATCCTGGCCAGCCACTACCTGGTCTAATACCAGAGGCTGCTGGGTAGGGAACCTTCCAGATAGAGTTTCTTCACTATTCCTGAGGCATGGGGGACAGGCCCATCTCAGTCACATCTGAACACTTCAAACCTGAGGCCAAAGTCCATTCTGGGGGCAGTGGGCAGGGAGGGCCCCAGCGACTCAGGACTGGGTAGGACCACCGGCAGCTGTCAGGCTCTGCGTGTGTGCACATCTTTCTGCCCCTCACAGGCTTTGTGTTCACATCCTCCCTTCATCCCAGCACCCAGAAACAACAGCCCCAGCTGCTTCCAATTCACAGCCCTGGGCTGGAGTTTGGGGAGCAATACTTTTGTTAAGGCAGGCATAATTGGGAACTTCATTCAGAAAGAGCAAGTGTGGTAGGAGGTCAGCCCTGTGAGAGAGTTTCCCTAACCTCCTTCCGTTAACGTCTTCAAATGAAGGATGCAATCTGCAATGTAAAATAACAGGAAGCCAAGAAATTTGAATACGGAAAAGTCCTAAATCGGGAATGGTCTGGTCTCTGGTAACACTAGGAGCACCCTCAATCACTTGAGTAGGGGAGATACAAAATGATTACAGGATTAGGAGTTAGAATGGATCAAGGACTTTGCTGTCTCCAGTGATAGATGCTCTCTCTGGAAGAATCACCATGGATGGAAGGCAGAACAGAGGGTAGTGTCTAGAAAAGAACAGGGTTCAACATACATGCTCCATTATGAATGTAAAAGCTTGACTTTGTTGACCAAAGGTTAGGAGTCCATCCAGAGTGAGGGATTGGAGCAGCAGGAGATGGTGGCTCGGTTGGTTAGGGAAGGTCCCGGCACAGGCAGAACAGAACAGGGGACAGATCCAAGGCCGGGACGCTGACAAGGAGAACAGACACTTCTATCAACCTGAAAGAGCAACAGGCAAGAATACGGAGAAAGATCAGGTATGGGAAGGGGCCAGGAGGTCAAAAGAATTCATCCCAGCAGTCATATTTTCTCTGTGAGACAGAAGACAGTGGTGTCTGCTCAGAGGATGAGGGTACAAATAAGGCTGGACTTTGAGTGCCAGGGCAGAAGCTTAGGACTATCCCCAAAGACAAGAGAGAAGGGATGTCTTGGGGATGTGACACAGGATAGCCCAGCATTGTGGAGGTCACAGCTAAGACAGGCCATTAAGCATTTGCAGAGACCTTGGGGACGTGACACAGGATAGCCCAGCATTGTGGAGGTCACGGCTAAGACAGGCCATTACGCATTTGCAGAGACCTTGGGGACGTGACACAGGATAGCCCAGCATGGTGGAGGTCACGGCTAAGACGGGCCATTATGCATTTGCAGAGACCTTGGGGACGTGACACAGGATAGCCCAGCATTGTGGAGGTCACGGCTAAGACGGGCCATTACGCATTTGCAGAGACCTTGGGGACGTGCCACAGGATAGCCCAGCATGGTGGAGGTCACGGCTAAGACGGGCCATTACGCATTTGCAGAGACCTTGGGGATGTCACACAGGATAGCCCAGCATCGTGGAGGTCACAGCTAAGACAGGCCATTAAGCATTTGCAGAGACCTTGGGGACGTCACACAGGATAGCCCAGCATCGTGGAGGTCACGGCTAAGACAGGCCATTACGCATTTGCAGAGACCTTGGGGACGTGACACAGGATAGACCAGCATCGTGGAGGTCACAGCTAAGACGGGCCATTACGCATTTGCAGAGACCTTGGGGACGTGCCACAGGATAGCCCAGCATGGTGGAGGTCACGGCTAAGACGGGCCATTACGCATTTGCAGAGACCTGCACAAGTTTGGTGGCGGAGTTTCCCCAGCAGCAGCCCATGTTTATGAGGGGGAAGGCAGATGACAAAAGCATATCTGGGTGTGAGCTAGTTCAGAAGGTCACAATGGAAAGAGAGCAGTTGAGTGATGAACTGTGCGAGCTTGACTGAGTGGAGAAGTCACAGTAAGGTTAGAAATATCATTTGGAAGAACAGTACCAAGGCCAGAGGCTGCATGCGGTACAGAAACACAGCGGATGTCGGCAATCCCAGGATTAAGAGAGTAGGAAAGACGGGGATCACGACCACTGAAGATAACAGAACTTAGTATACAATAAGTAAATGAAGGCTCCAAACCAACCGGGAGAGGGTGGATTACTGAGCACAAGCCATTGCGAAAATAGGCTACTGTGATCAGGTGTGTGAGTGATGGAAATCCCCAAATAATGGCTTCAAAACACAAGAATGTGCATTTCTTGCTCTTGTAAACAGGGTGAGCAGGTAAGCAGCCCAGGGCTGTGTGCCACCACTGGAAGGACCCCTTGTCACCTGCCACCACAGCTCGGAGCACACACGGGGAAAGCGGAATGTATGGGTTCCAAGAGACCAGCACTGTTTTCAGAATTATAAATTCTCCAAAATAGATATGCATGGATATATCTCATCACCTATGTGTAAAACAAAGAAAATGGAAAATCTGAGGTTCCACATGGAGTCTAGAAAGCAGTCTTCTAAGAACGAGTATGTCAGGATTTCCAAGAGCTGCTGGTGGCCTGAGGGCCAGACTTGGAGGGTCACGTGAAGAGACACTGGGAAGGATTTTGAACATGGATTTCATGTCTTGGGCTCTGAAAACAGAAAATGACCCTCCTCTAACACACGTGGAATAATTGATAAATTCCGGAACTCCCAGACTTGCTGAAGCCTCTGCTTCATCAAACAAACACGTCCATGTCTCTGACATGCCTTTCTATCTCAAGCACTAAAAATCTATTACTGACTCAATTCTTCTACGGGCAAACACAAAACTGATACTACAAAACAAACAGCACAAGAAAGGAAATTAGAAGCCATCGTCACTGTGAACAAAAACAAATAAACACTGGCCGATCAGATCGAAGCGTATGAACACACTAATGCATTATGGTAAGTACAGTTTATCACAGAAATGCGAAAATAGTTCACTCCTAGGAGAAGATATCACTCACCATGGCAAGAGAATAGGGAATAATAACCAGACGATAATCAACATTCAGTTACGACATTTAAAAAATCCCAGATACCTAATAATAGAAGGCAGTTTCAATAGTTTGAAAAAAAGTGACTTACCAGAAACCTAAAGCCAATGCCATACTCAGTGGTGAAGCATTGGAAGTGTTCTATCTAAATGCAGAAACGTGATAAGCCTACACAGTTACCACTGCAACAAAACATTGAAGTGGAGAGTTTAGCCACGCAGTATGAGAAAAGTATGGAAACTTGCCCGCAATAATCTGCCCCATTAGACAGCCACCTCTAACAGAAGACCTTAGACTGATTAATTTGTAAAGAACAGAATTGCTCACAGTTCTGGAGGCAGGGAACTCCGAGATGCCAACAGACTTGGTGTCTGGTGAAGGCCTGCTCCTCATAGACGGCATCTCTGTGTGTCACTGTAGATACCTAAAGTGGCAAAGACACTCCCTGCAGTATCTTACACAAAGGCGTGAATCACATTCATGAGGGCTGCCGCCCAAAAGGTGGCACCTCTTCTTTTTCTTTTTTTTTTTTTTTTTTGAGGTGGAGTTTTGCTCTTGTCACCCAGGCTAGAGTGCAGTGGCAAGATCTCTGCTCACTGCAACCTCTGCCTCCTGGGTTCAAGCTATTCTCTTGCATCAGCCTCCTGAGCAGCTGGGATTACAGCCGCCCGCCACCACACCCTGCTCATTTTTGTACTTTTGGTAGAGACAGAATTTGCCATGTTAGCCAGGCTGGTCTCGAACTCCTGACCCCAGGTGATCTGCCCGCCTCAGCCTCCCAAAGTGCTGGGACTACAGGAGTGAGCCACCACAGTTAAGTCTTAACATAGTTCCAGCATCAACTCGAAAGTCTAAAATCCAAAGTCTTACCCAAATATCACTTGAAACAGATATGGATAAGACTCAAGTAAGATTTATTATGAGGCAAATTTCTCTCCAGCCATGAACGTGCAAATGAAACAAGTTACATGCTTCCAAAATACACTGGAGGGACAAGTATAGGATAAGCATGCTTATTTCAGCATGGAGGAAGAGGAAGGACAGAATCACAGGCCCTGATCAAGTCCAAAACCAAACAGGGCAAACATATTTGAAGTCTCCAAAATATTTTTTAATCCATGCTCCACCTTCTGGACACACTGGGGTGGGGCTTGAACCCCCAAGGTTTCTGGCAGCCCTGCAGCCCTGCCCTCCTGGCTTTGCGAGGTGACCCTCTCACAGGCTGAGTTTGCATGCTGGTGGCTTTACCGGCCTGGGGTCTTCGGGGCAGCCCTGCTTTTATGATGTCACTGGGTATTGCTCTCTCCAGTGACTCCTGCCACCCCTGTGGCTGTTCTCTGCCTGTGCCCTAAGTCTGTCTGAGGCATCTTTTGAAATCCAGGTGGAGGCAACCATGCCTCCAAAGCTCGTGTGGCAATGTTCCCGTACAGATGCTGCCCAGGTTTACCACATATGCCCTCCAGGAGGCACTCTGAGCTGGTCCCGGGCCCGCACGAGCCACAGCTGTCACAGCAGAAATGCAGGGAGAAATGCCAAATGTGGGTGAAGGGGAGAAGAAAAGCAAAGCACACTGCCATGTGTGTACCTATGCAACTGTCTTGCATGCTCTGCTCATGTACCCCAAAACCTAAAATCCAATAAAAAATTAAAAAA